GAGCTTTGGAATATTTTACCATAAATTTCATGTTTTTAATAAGGCTTAACATTTGGTTCATGTTTCCCTTCTGAAAGGTAGATGCAACAATCAAAATAATAAAGCAAAGAGTTTCTTGGGAAGGAGCAAGAAGATAAAAATGTAATTATGGAAATGGAAAACCTTAAGCAGTAGGGGAAGAATACATAGAGAAAGTAAGGAGGAACCAGGTATGCTGAATGATTTAATAATAATGGATTACCAGCATTCATAACTCATAAAGATAGAACAAAAATACTTGGACATGGATGTCGGAAATATAGAGCACTTGTTAGATTTTTTAAATATGTAAACAACAGAAAAGCTACCAATACCTGATACACCTTCATGATATTAACTGTGCCCTCTCCATTCTGATCTGGAGATCCTTGATTCTGCAGTAGATTTCTCACAGTCTCCTCCATCCTGGAGAATGAAAATACAAAAACATTTTAAAGGTCAGAAATCTCTGCATGTGGATAAGACATGTAGTGTTAGGGTCATTTAAAGGACAAAATACATCATTCTACTGGCTACTAGCAAATTAATATTCATAGGATATGCTGGTCTTGGAACTTTCTTCACTTCTATACTGGAGCCTATGATTAACACATTTAAAGGGCTTCTTTACCTTTTACATGTGTAGGGTAGTGAGAGCTTCCTTTTTATGTGAGCTACAAAGGGAGTTTAATAAACATCAGATAACATATGCAGCTAGCAGGCATCTTCTTGATGTCAGTGTTGTAGCAGCAGCAGAATGATAAAATTAATGCCATCTAAAAAAATCATTCATAATTTTCCAGAAAAGTACAGGAGTACTTGTGGCACCTTAGAGACTAACAAATTTATTTGAGCATAAGCTTTCGTGGGCTACAGCCCACTTCTTCGGATGCATAGAATGGAACATATATTGAGGAGAGATATATACACATACAGAGAGCATGAAAAGGTGGGAGTTGTCTTACCAACTCTGAGAGGCCAATTAAGTAAGAGAAAAAAAACTTTTGAAGTGATAATCAAGATAGCCCAGTACAGACAGTTTGATAAGAAGTGTGAGAATACTTACAAGGGGAGATAGATTCAATGTTGGTAATGGCTCAGCCATTCCCAGTCCCTATTCAAGCCTAAGTTGATTGTATCTAGTTTACATATCAATTCCAGCTCAGCAGTTTCTCCCTGGAGTCTGTTTTTGAAGCTTTTCTGTTGCAAAATTGCCACCCGCAGGTCTGTCATTGAATGACCAGACAGGTTAAAGTGTTCTCCTACTGGTTTTTGAGTGTTATAATTCCTGATGTCAGATTTGTGTCCATTAATTCTTTTGCATAGAGACTGTCCGGTTTGGCCAATGTACATGGCAGAGGGGCATTGCTGGCACATGATGGCATATATCACATTGGTAGATGTGCAGGTGAACGAGCCCTTGATGGTATGGCTGATGTGATTAGGTCCTATGAAGATGTCACTTGAATAGATATGTGGACAGAGTTGGCATCGGGCTTTGTTGCAAGGATAGGTTCCTGGGTCAGTGTTTTTGTTCAGTGATGTGTGGTTGCTGGTGAGTATTTGCTTCAGGTTGGGGGGTTGTCTGTAAGCGAGGACAGGTCTGTCTCTCAAGATCTGTGAGAGTGAGGGATCATCTTTCAGGATAGGTTGTAGATCTTTGATGATGCTCTGGAGAGATTTTAATTGGGGGCTGAAGGTGACAGCTAGTGGTGTTCTGTTATTTTCTTTGTTGGGCCTGTCTTGTAGGAGGTGACTTCTGGGTACTCATCTGGCTCTGTCAATCTGTTTTTTCACTTCAGCAGGTGGGTACTGTAGTTTTAAGAATACTTGATAGAGATCTTGTAGGTGCTTGTCTCTGTCTATGGTATGTTCCAGGATAACTGAAATAAAATTTCTTATAATTTTCCCACTCCATGTATGTTTGGTTTACATTCAAGTAAACCTCACAACTAGAACTCTGTGAAAGTGTGTCAATAACATTTACAAGTGTGTTGATGACTCGCCTTCTGAAGGATTGAGAAAGTGGGCATACCTTACTGCTCTGTTTTTTCCCCTCTTCACTTCAGTCCACTACAATCTGTGGCCCCCAAATTAAAAGTTTAATGTTAAAGCAGTAGCAGTGGGAGCAGGATCCTTTATGGTCCTGCTGCAAAAAGGGGTTGAGGTGGGCTGTCACTCATAATATACCACCAACGCAGTGAAGAGATCCAGGTGTAGGAGTGGGGAGCAAACTAGTTGACCTCGAAGGCTTTTGAGATGTTTTGGAATGAAGTAAAAGCCAACTTGATTTCCTCCTGGCACTGAGGGTCGAGGATGGGCTGCACTGCAGCAGGAGTGCCTGAAGAAGTTCTAGCCAACTCAGCCAGACTGTGGAAAGACTAATTCAGACACAGTTCTATGAATGGGTGCAGTATGTGCTCCCTCTTAGCACAGCAATGCTAGCTAGTGTGGAGGGAGGTAGAGTGTGAAGACTGGGACCATGGCTTGTTCTGCAATAGAGGCACAAGTGCACTGCTTGGTAACCTTTTCCCCACTTAGGCCTGGTCTACACTAGGAGGTTATGTCGAATTTAGCAGCGTTAAATCGAATTAACCCTGCACCCGTCCACACAACAAAGCTATTTAGTTCGACATAGAGGTCTCTTAAATTCGATTTCTGTACTCCTCCCCAACGAGGCGAGTAGCGCTAAATTCGACATGGCCGTGTCGAATTAGGGTAGGTGTGGATGGAAATCGACGCTAATAGCTCTGGGAGCTATCCCACAGTGCACCACTCTGTTGACGCTCTGGACAGCAGTCCGAGCTCAGATGCTCTGACCAACCACACAGGAAAAGCCCCGGGAAAATTTGAATTCCTTTTCCTGTCTGGGCAGTTTGAATCTCATTTCCTGTTTGGACATCGTGGCGAGCTCAGCAGCACTGGCAACGATGCAGAGCTCTCCAGCAGAGGTGACCATGCAATCCCAGAATAGAAAGAGGGCCCCAGCATGGACTGATCGGGAAGTCTTGGATCTGATCGCTGTGTGGGGCGATGAGTCCGTGCTTTCGGAGCTGCGCTCGAAAAGACGGAACGCAAAGATCTACGAGAAGATCTCAAAAGCCATGACAGAGAGAGGATACAGCCGGGATGCAACGCAGTGCCGCGTGAAAATCAAGGAGCTGAGACAAGGCTACCAGAAGACCAAAGAGGCAAACGGACGCTCCGGATCCCAGCCCCAGACATGCCATTTCTATGAGGCACTGCATTCCATTTTAGGTGCGGTCGCCACCACTACCCTACCACTGACCGTGGACTCTGAGGATGGGATATTGTCGAGGGCCGCTTCCTCGGAGATGTTAGCGGATGGGGAAGATGAGGAAGGAGATGAGGAGGATGAGGCAGTCGACAGCGCTTACAACGCTGATTTCCCCGACAGCCAGGATCTGTTCATCACCCTCACAGAGATCCCCTACCAACCGTCCCCAGGCGTTAACCCGGAGCCAGAATCAGGGGAAGGATCAGTTGGTAAGTGTTTAAAACATGTAAACATTTATTTTGAACAGAACAGGAATATTAACAATATTAACAACGGGTTTTTCATGATTAGTTTGCCCTAGGCGCTTAATGTTTTAGTCCTTGGCAGTGCAACTACTGCAAAAGAATCAAACAATGTCCGGTTTATGATGATTAGTTTGCCCTAGGCGCTCTACTTTTTAGTCCTTGCCAGTGCAGCTACTGGAAAAGAAGGTCTATATGTCCGGGGATAGAGCTAAAATCCGCATGGGACATCTCCACGAAGCTCTCCGGGAGGTAATTGGAAAGCCTTTGCATGAGGTTCCTGGGGAGAGCGGCCTTATTGGGTCCTCCGTGGTAGGAAACTTTTCCATGCCAGGCTATCATCAAGTACTCCGGGATCATTGCCTTGCAGAGCATGGCGGCATACGGCCCTGGTTTTTGCTGGCTTTCACGCAGCATGCGGTCTTTCTCTGTCCCAGAAATTCTGAGCAGAGTGATGTCGCTCATGGTGACCTGCTTTGAATTAGGGGAATGTTACTGTTGGGACTGCTGGCCTGTTCCTTTACAGAACTGTAACCGGCAGTTTACAGCCACGCGGTGGAGGCGGGAGAGGGGCAGCATACAGGGATCTTTCCCGGGGACAGCCGCGAGGGGGTGGGACAGGGGCAGAGTTCATGCTTGCCGGATTGCCGGCAGCAGGAACTGGCCAACGCTAGGAGCATTGCTTTGAACGTGAAAGGAGGGCACTGCTATAATTTAAGTTTTAAGCAGCCAAAAGTCTACGGCTTACCATGTCAGCCTGCTACCCGAATTCCGCTGTCCTGCCCAGCTTCTCTGATCTCCAGTGCAAGACCCCAGGCACTGAATGCGAAGGCCAAAAATTCGACCTTGTCCTGAGTGCGCATGTGATAGGTGCTGTGCATGGTCTTCTTCACAGAGAAAGACTATGTTCATTGTTCACAAAAAATTATCTTTGTGAGGAATTCACTCCCTTTTTCAAATCCCACAGCTGCGACTGTCTCCCGACCTACCTTGGCATCCCCCTCCCAGAGGCTGGCGCAGATTAGGCGGAGAAAGAAAAGGACACGGGACGACATGTTCTCAGAACTTATGGGCTGCTCCCGAGCCGAGGCGGCCCAGCAGACCCAGTGGAGGGAGAACATGTCCCAAATCCATCGATCATACATTGAACAGGAGGAGAGGTGGCGTCAGGAAGACCAGCAGGCGACTCAAACGCTGCTTGGACTAATGAGGGAGCAAACGGACACGCTCCGGCGCCTTGTGGATGTTCTGCAGGACCGGAGGCAGGAAGACAGAGCCCCGCTGCAGTCTATCTCTAACCGCCCTCCCCCGCCACAAAGTCCCATACCCCCCTCACCCAAAGTCCCAAGAAGGAGGGGCGGCAGGGGCCGTGAACACTGTCACTCCACCCCTGCAGACTGCTCAAGTAACAGAAGGCTCTCATTCCCCAAAATTTGATAAGTCCTTTCCTTCCCACCTCACCCAAGCCCCTGGCCCAGTTTCATCCCCTAACTGTTTAGTTGCTAATAAAAAATATGTTTCTTTTAATTACTGTTTCCATCATGTTCTTTTAGAGGACAGTGTGTTTGAAGGGGGGGAAGGGGATTGGAAATTGGACAGGACAGTCAATTGGACAGGACAGTCAAGGGGGGCATGTTCAGCAGCAGGTCACGCACACATTGCAGTCACTAGGCACCCTGGTCAGTCTGGGAGGTGGTTTTTATGTTCTGTGGCGGGGGAGGGTGGTTAGAGATCTTATGCAGCGGTCCTTATCCTGGATCACAGAGCCACGCAGCAGCGTCCTCCCCCGCCACAAAGTGACATAGCTCTCACACACAGAGTCCCGAAAAGGAGGGGTGGCAGGCTCCGTTGAAACAACCAGTCCAGCACTGCGGACCGCTCTAGGA